CAATAATAACCACATTGATGCATTTATATGATTTATTTAACTTTTTTATTGATTTAAATTAAACTCTTTCGTTTCTCAATTGATTTCTACTCCTTCCTGTCTGTGAGACAGTTGGCTGCTCTTGCCCTTTCAGCCAGAGGTCTAGTGAGAGCAGATGTGCTATTGTTTCAGTGGTGGTGTCATGACTGATGTACTTTCCATGTGCCTCACCTCACCCCACGCTCCCCTATTTTGGTGCACTTGTTATATTTGCATGTGGACTGATACATTTAACAAACATGGCAGTCATTAAAAACAAGGGCAATGACTCAAATGGGGATGCTGAGATTAGGAAAATAGAGAGAGATTAAAAATAACAGAGGTGTGGCTAAAAAAAACCCCACTCTATTTACGTCAGAGTCATGTTGCATGTTGTCAGATTGTGTGTGTGTGGGTAGGTGTATCAGGTTAGAACTTCCCAATACAAGCAGTGACCAAACATTTGCCATTAAGTGTTTAGAAACTAAATAGCAGCAAGACAGAAGCATGACACAACCTGTGATTATTCCTGGTGAATGATTTTCATCCTAGAGAGAGCATTACAGTACTACAAAGACAAACTCTTAACATTTTATCATCTACTGAGCAGCCACACATTTCCTGTGGGCAACAAGTGTGGATCTATTCTTAGCTGGTGGCCTGGGCTTCAGTACTTTCTGCTCTTGTTCCTCATAGGTTGGACAGGATAAGGTGTGATTCAGTCCTGCCAGGTCTGACTGTGTCAGCGTAGCCTGTGTCCAGCTGTAAAGACGGTGGGGCCCATCGACCATCTGTCCCCGACCAGCAGATTCAAGGCTCGGTCCCCAGAGCAGGGAACGAGGGGGCGGGAGCGAGATGAGGTCGGATGGGGGAATCAGCTTTGTGTTGCCATAAAGCTGTCTTTCCTCTCTCCTAGCAACGGCCTCCCATTTCCTTGGTTTTGGGCGGCATGGTCCTGTTGGTCGGTGTGCACGGCCCCCTCACTCACTCTCTCTCTGTCCTATTTATGGTAATGAGCCATCTGCCCTCTCTGTAACAGCCGCCCAAATAGAGGAAAGGCTGGGAGGGGGGTGTCTCTGACAGACAGGAGTCTGAGACAAAGACGCTTATCCTGTTGTGTCTGCCTCTGCTCCAGTGGATGCCTTCAGACATGGACAGGACTCAATGATGACCAAGAACAGAGGCAATCCTGAAATATGTTTGGTGTTTTCATGAGAGAACATATTGTAAAACAGGGAGGGTTTTTTTTTAAGTAAGGTCTTAAAGGCAGACTGTGTATGCAGCTGATAGAGAGACAGAGAAAGTGACCCAGACAAAGAGTGCTACCACCTGCAGGTCAGTACATTAAGTTGTTCAACACAAAGAGCATTTGTAATATCAGTGTTAGCGTGACCCCTCCCCAATCACACACATACACATTTTTGACTCCTGAGCTGAATATTGCACAACCATACCATTACTTAGAGCTGCTATATGGATGTGCCTCTGTGACTTGGTGACACAGGAGAGTGGTGGGCACACCAGCCAATACAGAGCCACCCAGCATTCAATAGACCTCTGTTGCCACTGGATACTAGATTGGTTACCAAGCCAACACATGTGCCTCACTGTCATATCTCCAACAGATTAGTGTCGAAAACAACAGATATCTTGACAGTTAAGCTCTCCGTGTTCCAGGCTTAAGTAAAGTAGTATTTTTCAGTATATTTTTCAAAGAGGACTAGTGATTCAGTGTGGAAAATTTGAAGTAAAAAGACATACCTGAATGGAGATTTTGTAAGAAAAATGTTTGTTCCAACCATTTCATCATCAGTGGACAACTAGCTAGTGCATCATGAACACAAGGGCAATTTACAAACCTGCTGACTGACTGAAGTCCATTCAGAAAAAAGTGGATCAACTTTATTAAATCATTGATAAC